ATTAGATACTAGTACTTATTCATTAGGTACTAGTACTTACTCATTAGGTACTAGTACTTATTCATTAGGTACTAGTACTTACTCATTAGGTACTAGTACTTACTCATTAGGTACTAGTACTTATTCATCAGATACTAGTTCTTATTCATCAGATACTAGTACTTATTTATCATGTACTAGTACTTATTTATTAGATACTAGTACTTATTCATCAGATACTAGTACTTATTCATTAGATACTAGTGCTTATTCATTAGATACTAGTACTTACTCATTAGATACTAGTACTTATTCATTAGATACTAGTACTTATTGATTAGGTACTAGTACTTATCCATTAGGTACTAGTACTTATTCATTAGATACTAGTGCTTATTCATTAGGTACTAGTACTTACTCATTAGATACTAGTACTTATTGATTAGGTACTAGTACTTATCCATTAGGTACTAGTACTTATTCATTAGATACTAGTACTTATTGATTAGGTAGTAGTACTTATTTATTAGATACTAGTGCTTATTCATTAGCGACATGCCATGTCCATTATTGTGAAACCCGCGAGACACAACAAAAACACAGCTCCGATCACAGCGTCCTTCATCCTCCTGTTGTTAACGTAGTTCTTTGTTTCTGTTGTTGAACGCCGTGCACAAATGATGTCGCTGTTGACCGGCTTACGTCACTTTCTAGTACACACTGTTGGTGCGAATGCAACCCTTTAAATGGTACTGGGAAATAGTTCATGCAAAATCGTCCCAGTATTTTAGTACCGTACATTTAGTTCTGGAACTAAAGCGGTGCGAAAGGGCCTATTGATTAGGTACTAGTACTTATTTATTAGATACTAATACTTATTCATTAGGTACTAGTACTTATTCATTAGGTACTAGTACTTACTCATTGGGTACTAGTACTTATTTATTAGATACTAGTGCTTATTCATTAGGTACTAGTGCTTATTCATTAGGTACTAGTGCTTATTCATTAGGTACTAGTGCTTATTCATTAGGTACTAGTGCTTATTCATTAGGTACTAGTGCTTATTCATTAGGTACTAGTACTTATTTTTTAGGTACTAGTACTTATTCATTAGATACTAGTACTTATTCATTAGATACTAGTACTTATTCAATAGATACTAGTACTTTATACTTTAATAGTGACTATAGTAACTATTAAATTGTTACTAGTAAAAAAAATATATAATTTTTGCCATTGACTTCTATGGGGATCCGTCATTTACTAGTGCTTATTCATTAGGTACTAGTGCTTATTCATTAAATACTAGTACTTATTATTAGTAGATACTAGTACTTATTCATTAAATACTAGTACTTATTTCAATAGCGACTAGTAACTATTATATTGCGATAGCTGAATTTATAGCAATTTTAGCAAGAGCTCGCAAATTTTCGTAATTGGCACAGATTTTGGGCTTAGACGCGTCCTGTGTCATCATCGCAATGCGCATTCAGTCAAAGAAAGGTTCCAAAAATGGAATGAAGAGCCTTGCGTTCTCATCATGACCGATTTACAAGAGCTACATTGGACAAACAAACGGAAATCAGAACCGCGAACTGCGCTAGTTTGGGCTACGCAATGCAGACCGTTTATTTGCTCGGGCCAGAGCCGTGGGCTGATCTCGATCACGCGACACCTTTATACACAGCACTGGGAGATACAATGAAGAAAGCAGTCAAATTCACCGCAGAAACAATAACATCTCTGTGAAATCTTGTGAGAAGCATTCAAATTTGGCACAGAATTCTGTTAAAGCTACAGATATCAGAACAAACGCCACTGAAGTGGAAACCAGGAAAAACATTCAATAAACACAAATCACCATCATTCACCATGGATTTAACATAGTAAAACTACAGGAACAACTTGTGGCAGAAATGATCTAATGTTTTCAAGTGTTTTTAAATGCTTAAAACTTTTCCCAGCATTTCAAAGCTATTACTGAATTTGAAAGTTATTTTTAATGTGATGACATTATTTGTTCATTCTTCATAGGTTGCCCCCATTTATAAAACTAAAAGTTTCATAATGTAGGAAAGCAAACACTTATTTAAAAATAAAAAAGACATTAAATTACCACTAGTAGATGGCTGCAGAGAAGTACTTATAGGCTTAATAGCCATTTCCACTCCCTAATATATATATTTTTGTATTTATTAAATTATATTTAGACATTTTGAATGACAGTAATAAAAGTTCATTTTATCTGCATCTCAACTACCTAGATAGCACAAGTACATCTGTAAGACGTCTGCTAAAGATCTGGGAAACATCTGCTGTGTAATCTGATAAACGTCTCAGAAGCAGTTTTACATGCATTCTAATAAATGTCTGTTTGACATCTGACAGGAAACGTCTTAAAGATGTATTGCAGATGAGCAAACACTCTAAAAAGAAATAAAGTCTAACTGGTTATTGATGTGTGAAGCTGGTGATGCTGTTTGTGGAGATGATTAATAATCTTCTGCTGAGATCTTGGGAGACTTGTTTCTCGTTTCTTCAGTGATTCTGCTTGTTAACAGCGGGTGTTCATCACTAATGATCAATCAGCACTTAATTAATCACATAATTATCTCATTAACTTTTACACTGCTTCAGTGTTACAGTGTTACTTCATGCTCCGAGCAGTGTTCATTTAACACTCGGGTTTTTACTGTGTACCTATTAAATAGACACTAGTACTTATTCAATAGATACTAGTACTTATCCATTAGATACTAGTACTTATTTATTAGATACTAGTACTTATTCATTAGGTACTAATGCTTATTTATTAGAAACTAGTACTCATTCATTAGATACTAGTACCTATTAAATAGATACTTGTGATAAAGGCTATGTCTATTAGCATTGCATTTTAAATATACTTTATTCTTATAAAAATACCCGAGATGGCCTGAAGAGCACAGATAATACCATATATTGTCGCAGTCATTGTTTATTTTAATGTTTTATCAGTAAAATGTCTATCTGCATGTTATTCAGCTACATCTACAGCGAAAGCTGAATGTCTTTGTCCATATAAGGGATTTCCTGGAACATCATCAGTGAGTCTCACCTGTGGAGTTTCTGCGTGAGTGCGCCCTCCGGCGACGAGTATGCATGAAAAAGAAATTACATTAATTAAGTACTCATTATTGCTCATAAAACCCTAATTTGGGTAAAAATAGCAAAAAATAATTAAGAACTTTGAGCTAAACATTTGCAAATCCTTACGTTTTTCTCCAGGGTAGAGAAGTGTACATTTTCCACATTGCAGCTATATTTATTATTATATTTATTCTTAAGTACTCAGTTTTTAATATTATAGTGAAATAGTGCTATTACAAAAGTAATATTCCTTATTTTGTTTAATAATGTTTTTATTTAGAAATAATAACCATAATTATTATTAGTTATATTGACATATAAAAACAACATTTTTGGCCAAATTGTGCAGCCCTACAAGTACAGCAAACCTGGGGTTTTTTTTTAAATTAATAACTTTTTGGCCTTATTTCCAAATAAAGAAAATGTTTGTCTGAAAATCATAACGTTTGGATTTTGTGTGCCCTGTACAGAACATGAATGTAAAAGCATTCAGTGTCTGTAGCACCAGTGCTATATGCAAAAAAAAAAGTTAAGGTACAGGCCTGGTATGATATTTATTGTTTTTACTGGAGGAAAAATAAGAAAATAACAGATAATACAATTGGTGTCTTATCTCCATCCTGCCACCAGAGGTCACTCGATGACCAACAAACACATTAGGCTACTATGTTTACGAAATTGCAGTGTTTACAAAACTGACAAAAATACTTTTTCTAAGTGCTTGTGTTCAAATAATTGTTTATTTTCTATGTGGTTTCCTCAAAAAAGTACACCCATCTCCTTGTTTCTGTTTCCTGTCTAATCTCTCTCCTATATGTTGCTGGCTCATTAATATTAAACATACGATTACCATATGCTAATTTTAAAAATACTAGTATCTATTAAGTTCAGGATATCTCTAGTCTAAAAAGTTACTAGTAACTAAAAAATAAGTACTAGTTCTATTTTTTTCTTAACAAGAAGAGCATAATTAATTACTAGTAACTATTGGAATAAGTACTAGTATCTAATAAATAAGAACTAGTATCTAATGAAAAAGTA